AAGAGAGGTCTCGCCTCCCTGACCAGCCGTGGGTCACCTGGGAGCCCACCTTTGCTGAGACTTCCTAGAGCTGCAATGTGATCTGAGACTTCCCACCCAACTCCTTTCCCTCTCCCTCTCTCTTCCCTTACAACTGCTTCTTCCCTCCCCCTCTAACCCCCCAACCCTCTCAAATGTTCTCCCTATAAATCACTTGCATGTCTGATTCTGTCCTGGCATCTGCCTCTCTCTCAGAAGACCTAAACTGAAAGTCTAGTGTATTCAGGATTTGGGTCCAGTTCCACTAGAAACTAGATTCTTGGATGGCAAGCCTGGGAAATTTCACAATGGCTGGAGAGGACTGTGGGCAGAATCACTATGGAGGGTTGGAGAGGGGCACAGAGAACATGAATGCAACGCTGCTCAGCAAAGGAAATGAGCTGGGTGATGTATGGAACGGGACCACTTATGGAGGAGCAGACTTTTAGATGGAGCTGGGGTTTTTTGTTTTTTTTTTTTAATTTATTTATTGCTGGGGTACAGGCCAGAGATGCGGAGGGTGAGAGGATTCACCAGACACAGAGTGGAGAGCAGAACAGGCAGATCGACGAAGTACACTGCTGAGGGGAGCAGCGGGCGGGTCAGGAGAGGTCTGCCACGCCATGTGGTCACCTCTGGGGCAGGCGGGAATTGAACTTATGTGGAAGTCGCTTAAGCTTATTAGTGCAGTGCTTTAACCCGTTGTGCCACCAGGGAGGGCCAGAGCTGGGTTTTAATCCCAACCCTTTGGGATTAAATTAAACTACAAGAGCTTAATTTCCTTATCTATTCAATGGGAATATTTTTACTTACCTTGCTGAGTGGTTGTAAGAACAAAGGGATGATACAGGTGAAGCATTCAGCAGGCCACTGGCAGCGGCGTGCTCAGTTTCTCTTGAAGCCAGACTACAGAGGTGTCCGCCACTCCACGAAGTAACTCGTTTTCTCCGACAGAAGATTTATACGGTGGGACCCTCTTGGAGGAAGGGGACGGAGGTGGGAAACTGGTGGTGGAGGGGCTTCAAAATTTAAGATGAGGTAGTTTGAGGGGAGTCATTCCAGCAGAATAAAAAAGAGACCAGAGCTGTTGTTGGACATGTAGTCAGGGCCCAGACTGTAGGGCCAGGCCTCTTTAGGCTCCTCTCCTTTGGGATAACCGTAGGGTAAATGAAGTTGCTCAGGCCTTTATGCCATTGGCCTCTATGGCTATCACCTGCAGCCTTGATCTTGTTAACGTAAAGAGCACGTGGGTGAGGGGCACGCGGCCTGATTATGGTCACCTGCGGGAGGTGTGCACACGTGCCCATGCTCACTTGAGCCTAAAGGTCAGGGACAGAAGGGCGGCGTTACCTAGAGAACTACGCTGAAACAGCTACAAGAAAGAGACCATGAGAGAATGCCAGAGAAAGCTCGGAAAAAGAGCAGACAGAGATTCCAGAGGACTCAACTTGCCCTCATCCTCCTAGCTTGTTCCCCCCCCACCACCCCACTTCTCATTAAAACCTATAAAAATGATACCAAGAGCACTAAAATTCTCTTTCCAATTGCTATAAACAACGGTGAACCGGCCCTCCCTGGAGGTGCAATGGTTGTGATGCAGCACTACAAGCTGGCTGCAGCTACTTCGGTGTGAGTTCGATCCTGGGCCTTGGGGGGGGTGACCCACGTGGCGTGGCAGACTCTCTTGTCTCGCCCACTGCTCCCCTGAGCAGTGTGCTTCGTCGATCTGCCTGTTCTGCCTGTTCTGTCTCCAGTGAAGCCTCTCACCGCCCCAATACCTCTGGCTTGTACCCCAGTTCCGAATGCATAAATAAATAAATCTTTAAAAAAATAAAAAGAAACAACAGTGAACCTACCTGGCCTGGCTCGGCTGCAAAACAGTCCCCCTCAGCTGGTCAGAGGCGTTATGGCACTGCCAGCACCACACCCCTGTGCCCACGACAGCAGGGCTGCCTGAGTTGGCATGAGTTCTACAAGGACGCTTATCCTCCACCTACCGGGCAGCAGAATAGTGCTTGGCTCTGTGCAGGTGATAGCAGACCTGGTGCCAAGGGGCAGTTCCAAGAAGACAGCCCGGCATCAAGCCCTGAGGAAGCCCTGGCAACCCAGAGCTTGACACACACCCCCAGCTCTGGCCTAGGTGTCTGATTGAAGGTGGGCATCACCAGGGCCAGCTGGACTCCCACACACTCTGCCACCTCTTGGCAGCTTCCCTGAAGAAGTCCATTTTCCTAAAAGGAAGGGCAGATGACAGTTGGAGTTCCTCAGGGGCTGACTCTAGGGGAAAGTAGGCGGCAGTTTGTCTCTGCTGTCCAGTCCCTTTTCCTCAAACCCTTCTCTCCACACCACAGGTGTCCAGTTCTGGCTGTCAGGAAGCCTGTGGTCTGGCACGCTTTTCTGCCTGGGAGGAGAGTAGCCAATGCACTAACCACATCCAGGACTTTATTTGTCTCCCAATTCTCTGGGGCAGCTCAGCTGGGCTGAGTAAGATTCTTTGCAGAAGAAGGAATGAGAGAGAAGAGAAGGGAAAGAAAGTGCAAATGCCCCTTAAATACTACCACCCACTCACCCTGCGTTTTCCTTGGCCTCTCTAGCCCCTCTTCTCTCCATTTCCACTTTCCACATTCTCTCTCTCCCTGACACCTCTCACCCCCACAACCTGGGAGGCACACAGATTCCAGCTAGACTTTGGGCTTTTCTCTGCCAGTTTTCGTGTCTGTAAAGCATCTATGGCTATTTTTTTTTAAAGATTTATTTATCTATGCATACAGTACTGGGGTACAGGCCAGAGGTACAGGAGGTAAGAGGGTTCACCAGAGACAGAGTAGGGAGCAAAACAGACAGATCAACACAATAAACTACTAAGAGGAGCTGTGGGCGGGTCAGAAGAGGTCTGACATGCCATGTGGGTCAGCTCCCGGGCTGCGGATTGAACTAATGCTGCAGGGGCTTCAGAGAGCTTCATAGTGCTGTGCCTTAACCCACTGCACCACCAAGTAGGGCCCCACCTATAGTTATTGTGGTTTAAGAGATGAGATAAATTTGACAGCTGGGCCCCCGACATTCTCTGGGGTCCACATTGTAGCTTTGTGAGGGGATGGTGTAGCTGCCACAGATCTGGAACAGCAGTTCCCAACCAAGCAGGAAGCAGGAGCTAGAGAGGAGATGGAGGCTCCTGAGAAATTAGAAACTCAGAGAAGGTCTAATTGCAGAGGAAGCTAACCCACAGGTGAAAGGCGCTCAGTCCAGGGCCCTCCCTGGTAGCTCAACTGGCTAAAATGCAGCTATCTGCAGCTGCTGCAGCATGAATTGGATCCCAAGCCAGGTAGCATTTATGGCCCAGCAGACTTTGCCTGCTACTCCCCTCAGCAGTGCATTTCCATAGATCTACCTCTTCCGTTCCCCACTATGTTTGCTCTCACTGCCCACACCCTAGTTCTTGTATGCATAAATAAATAAATCTTAAAAAACAAACAAACAAACAAACAAAGGGGCTCAGCCCAGAGGCAGCTCCTGTCTCCCTCACTGGAAGGACGCAGGTGTCCGGGTTTCTTACTTCTCCCCATAGGGTTCTGCTAGCATCTCAAAGACCATCCATGGAGCCAGGTGCTGGGCTGAGCCTTTTTGCTCATTTTGTCTTCATAAATCTTCGCTCTATTGACATATAAGATAGGCATTATTATACCCATGGGGCTCAGAGAGGTTGGTCAGAGTGCTTGGTGAAAACTGGCACTTAATTGGTCTGGTGGCTAAGTGCAGTGCTTTCTGTCCTGCAGCAAGATGTGCCCCTGGATTGTCAGTTCATCTACAGGCCTACTGGGCAATAGGACACACAACCAGACCTAGTCTGGGGAATAAGACACACAACTTCACACGGTTTGTCTCTGTTGGGGAAACTGACAAGTAGCTGGGTGATTACAACAAAACACATAAATGCTATTGCGGTTCAGTCCCAGAGCCAGGGTACCCTGAAGAAGGGTGGAGAAACATGAGTGCCCATAAACGCCCCTTCTCCCAAATTCCCCCACAATCAGACCAGCAGCAAGATTAAGTATTAGTGATGACTGCACAGGGCTGCCTCCTCCCCGTCTTCCTTGGGGACCACTTCTCAGATCCCTGGAGTACAGCTATTCCCACTGGGGGTAAGTGAAATGGAACTTACCGGGAAGAGCCTGTTCTGGTCTTGCGTCTCTCATGGGCACAGCAGACTCAGTCTCCTGTTCTCTGTCCTCTGGAGAGCCTGGGATTTCTTTTTTTTAAAGATTCATTTATTTATGCATACAAAAGCTAGGGTGCAGACCAGAGGCTCAGGAGATGAAAGGATTCACCAGAGACAGACTGGGGAACAGAACAGGTGGATACTGAATACTGCTGAGGGCAGCAGCAGGTGAGGAGAGGACCAACGCGCCATGCAAGTCAGCTCCCAGTGGCTGCTGATAGCTTCATAGTGCTGAGACTTTGCCCCTTATACCACCAGGGCTTCTGAGCACAGTGGAAGAACAGGTCACACCAAGTCTGTCCTCTACTACTCCCATGTTACTCATAATTTCCTCTGACCCTAAATTAGTGGGAGCCTGCTCTTTGTTCAAGCTCCTTGCACTTCCTTCTAATTTTCAGTGCCAAGCATAGCTTCCCCCTGCTCAAACAATACCTGTTTTCACCTGGGGTCTTCTCATTCAGGTACCTTGCACAAGAGGAGCCAATGTTTTGTACCTATTTCCTTCTTCAGGGAATAATCCCTGTTGATGCACCTAGACCTGGGGCCATTCTGGCGACATCTCAGAAATTGAGTCTGTCATCCAGTACGGCCTATCCAGGCCCCAGGCTCCATGCTATGACAGTGGCCCACTGCACTGACCCGTTCATACCTTGACTTACTTTCATTCCTGCACACTCCCTTTCCTGACCTGGGGAGATTGCTGGATGCAGGAGCTCAGAAAGCAAATCACAGAGATGCTGACTTTGTATACAAAACAGCTTTATTAAAAATTCAGCGACTAGGTAAAAAAAGAAGCCTTCGTAAGGGTTCTATCAAAAAGTACAAAATTTAAATAGAGGTGCATCATAGCAGTGGCAGCCAGCTACAGCAGCCAGTCTCAACCTTGGGGCTGGGGGGAGCTGGTTCTCAGAAGAGCCCAGAAGAGATTAGGTACAGGGTTCTTTGGATGTCTGCTGGGCCAGTCCTGCTTGGAGCAACCAAGTCAAGGGCCCTGTGCAGTTTTCTTTTCCTTGGAAAAATAGAAAGAACCTGATATGAATAGGAAAATCTGAGTCTTAAACTTAAGGCATGTCATTTCTAAGGCTCAACTACCAACTCCAGTCCTGATGTACATGGAGTGTGAATGAGCGGAGATCAGAGATACACACAAAACTTCACACCCTCTGTGCACCTGATTGGTATCCCCTCTGCATTTGGCCACAGGTTAGTTTAATGGACCATGTAATCCCTGCTGCAGAAAGCCTAAGACAGTTTTAAACAGATGTGTCACTTTATGGCAAACTGGTGTCTGGTTCTGTCCGGGCATGAAGGATCACACTGTCCTCTCCCCCAAACCCCTCAATGGGGAATGCTAGGCCTCCTGTTCTCTGAGCTTCCGTAAGTACCCATAAGGAACTTCTGAGGACAGTGCCTTGAAACCCCGAGAAGCCCCAGGCTGCAGTGCCAGGGTTTCTCTGAATGGCAGGTGTTAGCACAAAAAGCTGGCACTGTCAAATTGAGTCCCCAGAAGCTGCTGGTCCATACTTATGGTCACTGATGACAGGCCTCCCTGGTGACATTAGGCAGTGGGTAGGCAAAGAGGGAGAAGTCCAGGATATACTTAGGCAGTACATCCTGCAGCAGGGTCCGGGGGGTACTGCACAGGTGATAGTGCAAGTTTTCAGGACTTGCTGGCCGGTACCAGGCCTGACGAGCTGGGAACCGGACTTGGGGTGGTGCCCGTACCCACTCAAGCACCTGGTTGGCATCAGCCTCCAGCCTCTCGTAGGAACCCACAAAGTCGTAGTGCACTGCACAAGGCTGGCACAGGTTGTATACTGGCATCCAGTGCTCATTCATGCGCTCAGGGTCCTCATCCACCAGGTATCTCAGGAACTCTGGGAAGGTGACATCATCCCCTGCGGGGCTAGGACCTGCTCCAGCCCTGTACCTTCTGACGATCTCAGCCCCATAGCGCTGCTGGTACTCTCGGATCTCACCAAACTTGTTGCGGTAAGCAGAGAGCAGGCGTTCCAGAGGATCCCTCACAAACAGGAACTTGAAGTAGTGTTGCAGCCGGTAGCGAATCTCCTCTGGCCTTAGGTCTGCCAGGAACACCAGGTCACTGCGGTGGTCCATCTTGAGACGGACGTCCACACTGTCCAGGACTCCCGCCAGCACCTTCAGCACCCGCTTCCAGTTAGAGCAGGCCACTTTGGGGACGTAGCAGTAGAGGAAGCGGTAGCGGTCACTCACGAGGATGTGGCGCAGTAGGGTGCGCCGCTGCCCCACCGGCAAGTCCCAGGGGTCCCGGGGCATACCTGGCTGTCCACACACTGTCCGTAAGGTCCGGTTCCTGACGTCCTGCCTCACCTGCATATCCGAGTCCCCGGCATCCAGGGAGAGTCCCCCAGACCTGAGGACGGTTCCGCGCCAGGCTGCACCCTCGCGGTTGGGAGGGTGCAGGGGAAGGGGTTTCATCTCCGCCAGGATGCCCCGTTCAATCATGAGCAGCAGCCCGCTGGAGGCCACGATTACCGCGAACATCAGCATGGACGGGAGCAGCAGGGGCGGCCCCCCGAGCCCGGCCCGGGCCCTGCCCAGTGGAGCCCGCCTTAGTGGCCGGCCCAGGGACTCGGCGCCATTTGGGGCCGTCAGAGGGGTCAGCGGGCGGGGGAACATGGTGCTCCCGAGGTAGGGGCCTTCGCGGGCCCAGGCAATCCGAGGGCGGCCTAGAAAGCCGTCTTGGGCTGGGGGGCGGGAGCCGAGGGTTTACGCCCGCTGCCAAGAGGGGGTCGGAGAGGAGAGTGCTGGCTGGCAGCCCAAGCTCCAGAGGGGGTGGTCGTCTCCCAGGCTGCGAGGAGGGAGCGGGCGGCGGGCGGGCGCGGCGAGGGACGGGGCCGGATGTCCCGCCCGACCGCTCTCCGCCCCAGGCCCAGCCGCGACTTAGGCGCGGGGGGCGGGCCCAGGCCAGGGGCGGGGAGAGGGGCGGGCGCCCCAGCAGGGATCGGGGCGGGGAGCACGCCTTGTGGACCCCCACCCGGGAGAGGGCGTCTGAGTCTGAGCCTGGGCCATCCGAGTCCTCTGGGCTTCCGGGACAAAGCTGCTGAGGCCCCAAGCCAGGAAAGACAGAGGCCGCGGGGTCCAGGCTCGCGCGCCATGTGCCTTCAGAAAGCCATAGAGTGAACCCACAACACACTGGCACACACCTAACCCTAGCCCAGGTGCTCTCTGCAAGTGTATAAACTTTCTTCAGGAAGCTGGTGTTTCTCGCTGGAAGCAGAACCCCCCAGTGTCCTCCCCTGGTCAGTCCTGGCCACTCCTGTAGAGAGGAACAAGACCCTCAAGGACTAACCAATAGCTCATCACCATGGTGACCCTTAGATTTGACAGTCCCTGCGGATTTCAGCAGGTATCCACAGAGTAATGCAGAAACAATGGAAATGAACCCTCCCCTCCTCCGCCTTCCTCCCAGATCTGATAAGAGGGGATGACAGGACTCTGGTGAGGGGCCAGTGACAAGTTGGTGCTTCATGGCCACTGGAGTGGTCAGCACATACTTTTTAAAGGGTGAGGAGCTGAGAGCAGAGCAGCAGCCTTCTTTCCTGGGGCCAGACATGCCCAACACCACCTGTCTGGCTGTGAGGGCTGGAGACGGGTATGGGTATGCTGTGGATGTCAGCAATCAGCCTTTACCTATCTGAACTGGGCACCATGCAAAGTGCCAGAGTTCACCTGTTATGCTCGCAGCCAATGAGGCGCTAAGCAGAGTAATGACCTAATCAGAGGCCATCTTTGAGGCAGATGCCCACTCAGTGTTTGCTTTTTCTCTGTCGCAGCCACTCTGGAACTAGTCACCACCTGAATTTCCACTGCACATGTGAAGAAACAGGCTCAGGGAAGCTGTCTCTTCATGAATTGGTCTGATCCTAAAACCTAAATTCATCATTACCATCTTTTAGACATTAATGGACACAAAATGGAGAATGGCTGAGAGGGAGGAAGCAACCCAGAGTGTGCATACTGAGAGTGTGATGGAGGGAGGATGCCAGAGACTTTCAGTATAGTGGGAAAATGGAGCTGCCACTGATGTGGTGTATCCGGAAGTGAAACTGTGAGGAATAAGAGGAAGCCAGAGTCTAACAGAGTGGTCCCCAACAAAAGTGGAGGTTCCAAGTTCCCTGCCCCACCAAAGGGTGGAGCTGAACAGGGAGAAGATGCAGAAGTGACTGGGGAAGGAAGGGACTAAAGAAGATGGGGAACCAGAAAGACCTAGAGGAGGTACAGGGAGCAGACATGGAAAGAAGCTACACTTGCCTCTTGGGTCTTGGACTAGTTGAAATAGATGTGGGCGAGAGACCTGTGGGGAAGTTAATGATGACAGCTTTTAATTTTGCTCTTTCTGCTCCAGATGTCTCAGGCCCCTTCTACCCCTTACCTATGGGTCACCACCAGGAGGTTTTGGGGCCTCAGTGGCCCTGTTCTGGGCCAACTCTGGCTCAGCATTTACCTAGGGGATGGGTAACTTTTGGTGCTTGATTTTCCCCTTTTCTGTATTGCACACAAATTATATTAAAGTTCCTTTCCATTAAAGGTCTTACATACTAGAGTATGTTTTGTCTTGATGTGGCAGGTAGCAGAAACTAGAGTGGGCAGGTCTTGGGGTTCTGGGGTGGCCCTCACCCTCCCCTGAAACAGATGGACTCTTAGATGGTCCCCCAATCCTAACAACAGGAAGGCACACAGGATGAGTGAGGGAAGGAAGAGGAAGCCTAGTGGCTTTCCAGCTTCTCAGAGCAGGCTCCCATATCCAGGTTTACAACACTGAGCTTTCACTCAACTCTTCTTTGCTTCCATAATCACTGAAGGGAAATTTCTGCTGGTGGAAACCTTGTTTTCCCTTCTTAAATAAGCAGCTCTTTTATACTGAGAGGGCAAAAATAAGCTTTGGGATTTTGATAACTTGGTCACACAGGCTCATTTCTGAATGGTCCTGTGCTAGTAGGCACAGTGAGGGACTAGCCAGCTGTTCTCAGGGAGGGGTGTGCTTAGGAAAATTACCCGTCTTTATCCCAGCGTAAAGTGTAAGATACCAACCCCTGCAGGGGAATCTTGATGGCTGTGCTACAGTAAATATACCAATAATCTCTATAGAGACGCACCTGTCAGATGTCCTTACCAAAACACAGAAGAGGGCTGGGTAGTCACGCTCTGCCTCCTAGAACCCCCATAGCCTTACAGCCACCTCACCCTAAACAGTGGCAACACTAAGGCTTTTTGAGACAAATCAGAGGTTAGACAGTCACCAACCATTGACCTCCTGGTGTGGCCTTCATCAGCCAGGAGTGCCAATTGTGAAACACTGAGGCCCTAAGAGTCTCTCTTGGCCAGATCTCCAACAGCATGTCCCAAGGGGGTAACACTGCTCATCTTCTCCATGTACCCACTTGAGACCAGTCCCCAGGTCAGGAAAGAGCAACCCAAGGATTTCACACAGCCCAGACAGGTGGTCACGAGGATGACAAGAAGTCAAGCCCAAGCTTCCCTTCCCTTTGTGTCCCTCTTCTGCATTCCCCCGACTTTCCTGACATCTTTGCTTATTCACTCTAGAGAGCTTCTACACTGCAAGGTTTAAGGCCCCATGCCCACACATAAAAAGATAACAGGACACACAGGAAATTATCCTTTTCTAAATCAATACAATTTCTCAAATTTATTTTTTTTCTTAAAGAAGTACTTCTAATCTCTGTCAAAAGGGAGGTGAGGAAAGGTCCTCCTTCCCTTGTAAACACTGAAATACAGATCTGATAAACCAGGTTGACACACACAAAAAGTGCATTTTACAAAATATCAACTAAAATATATTTTACATGAATTATGCTTCCATTGAAATTCTACCAGCTGCATTTTCAGATTCGAAAAAATATTTCCACATCTAAGAGATTTCAAAAGCATTTATGTTCTGGGCAGCATACCGTGCCTCCTGGAAGGAGGGGTCTGATCTCTCCTGCTGGGTGAGGCTGGGCTCCTGGGCAGCAAGGATCTGCCACCCTGGGAACAGCAGGCACCAAGGTTGGCACTCCAGAGCCCCCACTGCCACTCCGCCAGCTCTCTCACTGCCCTGTCCTTCTCAAAGGATGCCTTTCTCCCAATAGCTTATCAATACAAGAGGGCCTAAAAGTCCCTTCCCTTGGGTTTAGGACTGGACTTTCTTTCCTGCCTGATTTCACCTTTGAAACCTCCAGGTTTCCTCCAAGCACAATGACCAGTCAGGAAGCAGCCACCTTTGCAGGGACAGGCTAGCAGGGGTTGCTGGTAGTACCCTCAGGATTCACTTCCTCCTCCCTCTCTAGCCCCTGGCTTGCCACTCCTCACCCAGCACCACTTCTTCAGCCTGCTGGGTCTGTCTGTCCCCTCCCTAGAGGAGGACCACCTAGTGATGCCCTCCTGGCTCCTATCCCCAGGGGCTTGCCCTTGGAGGTTCTCAGGAGCAGGTTCCCAGAGTCAGGCCCAAGCCATACTGTGCTCCTTTCCCTCTCCCCACCATGTTCCTCTTTGGTACAAATAGGAAATAACTAGCTGCTCCAGCCCCCTCACAGAGAGCCCCAGGGCCAGGGCTCAGTCCAGGCTAGGACAACAGGGGGCTGAGCCTCCTAATCTATTCTGGGGAGCAGCATGAGGTGAGAACAGGGACCCCTGGGCAACAAGAACAAACTGAAAATGCAGGTCCTTAGCTCCTAGAGTGAGTGGCTGCAGCTCAGCAGGTCTGTGGACGATACAGTGTTGATTCTGGCTGGGATGTAAATTAGTGCAATCTACAAAAGACTAGGCTGGGGGTGGCAGGGCAAGGGGAGCCACAGCACTCCTTTGGTTTGATTTCAGGTGGGTGTGGCTTGAAGAATCATGTGTGAAGTTCTGCAAGAGGTTTCCTAGAACCTCCAAGTATAAGGCAAGAGGAAAAGTCTTCAATAAATCAGGTAGCAATTTTCCTTGCCCCCTGCACCCCACTCCCTCCCAGTTCCCTTTTGCCCTCCCAGACATGACTAACCCCTTGTTGATCAGTTGACTTCTGGGAAGCCAGACCTGTTGGGTGGCCCTCACCAGGAGGTGGATTGGACAGGAAGTTGACTCCCACAAGTGGGCCACACCCATGACTGTGAGGGCCGGTTAACTTGTCCCAGCACCAGAGGGTACTACAGGGGCAAAGGAGGAAAGCCAGGGAGAAGCCCCAAGTCCAGGAAGAGAGTCAATGCTCTGGAAGCCAGACTCTGAATCCTTATGCCTCAAGGAGCGAGCTCGGAGCTGTGCTAGAATCTGGGAGAATCTGGTCCTGGGCTGATGGGGAAGCAGCGGGTCACAGTGGGTGAGGTAAAGCTGGCTCCCACTCCCCCTTGAAGGGCCATGGGGAGGTTAGGAGGTTAGAAGGGCCCATTGGGCTTGGTTCCTGAAGGACCGATGACCGCCCCCCCACCCCCCAATATCTCCTCCAGGGTCCTATGCCCTCAGGCTTGGCCCAGAGTCAGGGAAGACTGCTTCTTCAGAAGTCTTTGCCCAGAGGATCACAGAGAGGTCTCCTGGGCCAAGGTGAGGGCTCTGATGCTATTCTTATACCCTGGCCCCCCCTTCCCTCCCTTGGGGCCCATAGGGGGCCCCTTCCCCTCCCCCCAAGAGAACCACAGGCCAAGCAACCTTAGGCCCCTGTGGCCCCTTAACCAAGTGCTGTGCTTCAAGCAGTGCCTCCTGCCCTGAGCCCTACTTGCCCACAGGCAGTCCCAGAGTGGGTGTGAGGAGGCTACTGGGGGTTCTTGAGGATGCGGCCATGGCGGAAGTCATAGACATGGCGGCAAAGAAACACCAGCTCAGGGTCCGTGTCTTCGGGCACTGTGCGGTGTGGCGGAGTGGAGTAGTCTGCGGAGGGGGGCACCAGTGCTGTCTTTCTGCTGGGGAGGCCCTCGCCTCGGCGCTTGGCCATGGCACAGAATCTGCAGTGACACACCATTTGTTATTTTACCACAGTCCCTTTGTATCAGTTTCTTTCCCACCCGGCCCAGACAGCTAAGGATCTCCTCTGGTCATGGAGAAAGCTGGTCCTGCCTCCATCTTCATCCAGGGGGCTCTGCCCCCATGCCAGCTGCCAGTCCACCTTCCCTGGGGTCTCCCTCCCCACCACCTGCCAGTTCTCCTTGATCTTCTCTGAGAGTAGCATCTCCCCCTACTTTGCTCCAACCACTCCACCTCACAGGGGCAACAAGTTTTCCTCTTCTAATAAAATCAGATGGTGAAAGAAGCAGGCAGTGAGGAAGAAAAGTTCTGGGAGATCATGTCCAAAGAGTGATTCCCTTGGGGAATCACAGCCAACCTCCAACAGCAGTGGGGAGTTTAAGGGGTTAGGCTAGTCAGCATATAGGGTGCCACTCACCTGCAGTACTCGGCAAAAGTCAGCACGTAGCACTTCTCCTCGATGCAGGCCACACTGTTCTGGTCCTGATGTCTTGATGCAAAGACTTCATTCTGCAAAGGCTCAAGGGGAGAGAGGAGGTGGTTGGTTGCCAAAGCTGGAAGCACCTAACTCAGGGAGCGAGGCAGACATTCAGCCCTCCTGACTAAACTCCACCTAGGGCCCAAAGTCAAGGTACTGCCCTGGAATTTCAGCCTAAGTGCTCCTTACCTAGCACTCCAAGGCTTTCTCCCCAGATCCCATGCTATTCAGGAGTAGCCAGGGACCTGCTATAGTCTCGCATTGCCACCAGTCTCCCAGCCCCCACCCTACCTAGCCCAGGGAAGGAAAGGGGAATTGATCTCAACCTTCCTGGTTAGATAAAAATTCTCACTACAGGGAAACATTAGCTGGGACTGGAGTAAGGGGCCACACCCAGATGGATGTGCTCTCTGAGCACCCCAGAGTGCTAGGGGTGTTAAGAGTCTTTCCTCCCTTTCCTCCTCTGCTGCAGACAGTATCAAAGGGGCCTCGCAGGGCCAGCCAGACACACCTCCTTGCTCCAATCCTGTTGCCCCTGCTCCTGAGGGCTTCTCTTTCTGCCCAACCTTTATGACAAAGGTTACTGTTCCCTCTGAGATAGCAACTAGGGAAGTTTTGGGGGAAATGGGTAAAACCCAGGCCCAAAGCAACATGTTTAGGGATTTTACCACCCACAGCTGCCTCTGTACATGATGTCCTTCATGTCACCACCACCACCACCACCGCTTCCCAACTATCAACCAGGCAGCTCACCTCATGCATGCTGGGACTGCGGCCTCCCTGCAAGTGCTCTGGTCTGTAATACCACAGGAGGCTCATCATCAGCTCTCCTAGGAGGACAAGAGGAACAACCATGGCTTGAGCTGGCAACCCAGGTGGGCTTCTACCTGCTCTTAGGGGCTCATCCAACTTGGACGAGCCAGTCCAACTGGGCCAATCATGCAGGTTTTGGCCACCCATGTCCACTGCTCAAGGCCAAGCTAGCATTCAGTGGCCTGGAATGGGGGTAGGCATAAGACGGAATGAGGGAGTCACTGACAGGTGAGATATGGAGACAGGTGCGCACACCCTGCTGGCTAGGATTAACAAGCTGATCCAACCAAAATCATGAGGTCATCTTCAAGCTCTCAGTGGCACTGGCCCTGGGTGAGCAAGAGACAGACAGTGCAAGAGCACAGGGAAACTAGTGCCAGGCCAAACTTCAGGTAGGTACCTGATTCGGGGTTCTCCCAGAGGGCAGAGATCTTGGCCACATAGGGTGTGGATGTCTTTCGTGGGCCTGACTTGAGGAGGACAGTATCCCGGACTCGGATTGTTTCTCCGTGTCGCTCCACTGCCTGGTAGCTCTTTCGGATAGCTGGTTCCGGTTCATCCTGAGCAACAAACCAAGGACACAAACAGGCTGTGGGTCCACATTCAGAGTGAGAATGGAGCAATTGAACGATGTCCTCCCTAAACTTTGCTTAGGGCATCAAACCACTAAACTGTAAAACTGTTCTGCATGCTGGACCTCTTCCTAAGCCTGACTTTCAGGAGAAGGAGGGAGGGTGAAAGATGGTAATGGGGCAGGAAAGTGGTCTGAAGCTTCTGGGGCTGTGCTCTGATCGCCACACCCCAACTGCAGTCTCTCAAGTCCCATTCTTCCCGTCTTGCACTGGGTAGGTCTTCAAGCATCTTAACAGGACAATCTGGACTTGATCTTTGAACCCACTGTAAATGGTGTAGCATCCAGCAAGTTACTAAACTTAAATTTTCTCATCTGTGACATGAAGGAAACCACAGGAACATAGGGTCCATACTCACAGGGTAGTGGTGAGGAATCAGAGGGGTAATACATGCAAAGTGCTTAGGTCAGTCCTGGCATCTAAGAAATGCTCAATAGACTTTAGCCAACTTTTTTTCATCATCCAGATGTTCCTGCATCACTCATTTTCTCTGAGTAGCCCAACTGCCCCTACAGATACTTATCCCAAAAGCCTCCATGCAAGTTCTCCATTTTAGAATCTAGGCTAGAAGGCACAGTGCGAGCAGAGATGAGAGGTGAAGACACCTCTCGTGGTGTCCTGAGTCTGACAGAGACATCGCCTGACCTCCCCAAGAGCGAGGTACAAGATCAGCAGGGCCGGGGAGCACTCTGAGCAGGCACCTCAGCATGTCTCGGAGGGCTTGAGTCAGGGGTTCCTGGAGGTTCTCTGTCCCCACTACTACACTACCTTCTCCCCATCAGCTAAGAGCTGTACTCACCAAAACATAGACAGCCTTCTCACAGGCAGCCCCAACAGGCACCCAGCCATTAGTGCGGCGGCGGCGGCGGCGGCGTGGGCGCGGGCGCTGGACACGCGTCTGCTTGGGGTGGCTGGGCCTGCGGGCAGCCTTGCTCCTCACAGTGTGCCTACAGCTGGAGCCCGTGCGCAGACCTGACTTGGAGCCACTGGGAGGCTTGGCACTCTGCGGACAAGCGCGGGCTACAGTCTGGGGCTCTGAGGTTGGGGTCTGAAGGTGGGGTACAGGCTCTGCTGCAGGCGGCACGCTGGGTACAGGGCATCCCAGGAGTGGGTGGGCAGGTGAGGCTGGGTGGCCAGCTACAGGGAGAGGAAATTCCAGCTGGCCCAGGGATCTGCAGCCTTCTGGAAAAAGGGCAGAGAGGGAGTCAGAGCAGTTAAGGACAAGCAATAAAACCCTGACCCCTCTGCTTTCAGAGACCATGCCTGTCTTTAGTTCCAAGTGTGAACCCAAAGGCCAACAAGGTGGCTGGCAGGGGTCAAGGGGAGTAAAAACAGATAACTAGAAATTATCCAGTGACTGCCCCAGGGCATTTCTTGACCTTTAAGAATAGCTGACAGACATGTCCATGTCCCCTTCCAGCCTGAAGGAGAGAGAACAGGTGTGGCTTCTCTACCTCAGACTTAACATTCTCTGAGGCCACTGAAGTGCTTAAGAGCAAGGGATATGGAGTCTGGTAGCCCTGAATATGAATCCCAGTCCTGTCACTTATGAGCTGTGTGATCTCAAGCAAGTCACCTTACTGCTCAGTGCTACTGTGAATGTAATAAAGCATGTCCTAGCTGAGATGTAGTAATTCACCCCATCCTTATATTAACCCTGTAAGACAGGTACCATCAGACAGATAACATAGCAATTAGGAAACAAGTACAAAAGTTACTGGCTTGTCTGTCATGTAGCTAAGGAAGTGGGGGACAACATGTCACTCCAGGCAGTCTGACTGCAAAGTCTGTGCTCAACTGCAAGTCATGCGGCTTCTCGGGCATGACACGCTCAGAGCAGTGCTTGGCACAGGTGTTTGCTGGCGCCCTGGGACAAGTGGTAAGTCTTGGGTCCCATGGGTTAGATGTCTAGACCTGGAGAGTGGCACAAGGAAAGTCCAAGAAACTTGTGCTCATTTCTTAGAGCTCCAACTCAAGCCAAAACCTGAAACAACCAGTCTGGCCAGAGTCAGCTGGTCTATAAAGCTGTTTTATAGACTCTCGACAAGAAGGAGCATGGGGGAAAGGAGAGCGCCCTGGAAAGCCTCACTTTAGCAGCAGGGCAAACTTGCTGACCAAGATGGTTTTGTCACTTCATTTCTACCCAGGAGCCAGAAAGTGAGCCTGAGAGGATTGTGAGGCTACTCCTGCCAGTGTGAGGTCTCTAGGTCTTGACATGAAGGCAGACACCAAAGCCATGAGCTCTGAAGTCACAAACACTGTTTGTTCTCAAAGTGAGCCCACCTCATCCACACCTAGGATTGTATGGCTAGGGTAAAAGCTGCCCCACTAGAGCTGGCACTACCTAGCTGGCCTGGTACCTACCAACCTTCCCATGAATGCTTAACTTGGCCAGTATGCAGATGGTCCGAGCTACACACAGGCCCCTTTCCTGAGAACACTCCTAGGCTTGAGGCACAAAAACTAGGGGAGTCTTCTCATCTCAAAGCTCCCTACATTCCATGCAATTAGTCTGACCCCAGAATGCCCCTACCCTACACTTGCCCAAAACATGATAGCTCAGAGACCTCCAGTGACATCCCATCCTAAGGAGGGCTCACCTGCTGCAAAAGGCATTTTGTAGGGGCAGCCGCCACAGGTAGTGCCGATGTGGGTAAGCGATGGGGACAACACTTCACAGATGCTGTAGCCATTCACTCCTGGGTCTTCGCTGGAGCGGTAGCGAGAACCCCAGGGAGGGTGCTGAAAATGGGTGCCTGTAGGCACTGAGCTCGGGGCCAAGAGGAGCCCCTCACTAGGTGCAGCCAATGGAGACAGTTTGCCCTCAGGGAGCATGGGACAGGGGGAGTAGCCCCCACATTGCAGCCCGTCTTGGCTGCAGTACAGGTAGAAGTTGCCTAGTGCAGTGATCTCAGGCCGGCTACACAGGCCACTGTAGTCGGCAGGGTTGCCAGTCATCGGCAGGGGGGACAACTGGGGTGTGGGGAAAGAGGGCTGATGCAGTTCTTGTTTGGGGGCCGGTGACTCCTCGCCTGGGCGTCCAGGCTCTGGCTTGAGGGCTGCCTGCCCACCCATCAGCAGAGGCAGGTGAGGGCGCAACCCCAAGGGGCTCTCCAGAGCCTTGCTCAGGGGCTGGTAAGGTGGCTGAACAGATGGCCCACGAGGAGTGGCTGATGGCCATGGGTCCTCAGGGCGTCCTGGCCAGCCAGGTGGGCCTGCAATCTCCCCGGGGTCAGCTCCCTGACGAGCCTTGGGATAGTTCTTGCCATTGACCTTGGCCCACTTTGGCCTTGGGGCCTTTGGTGCTGATGGCTCAGTGGAACGCCCCTCTGCTTCTGGCTGGGTACGAGGTGGTCGCAGGGGCAGCTCCCGCTCCTGGCTCAGCTTTAGGAATGCAGCTGCATTCAGGCTAGCCAGTCTCTTGGGAGCTGGGTCACCATCTCGGCGGGCACCTTCATCCGGGGCTGGCTCTGGGGACAGGTCCCGACTTCCTTCTCCAAGGTCCCCAGGTCGGGGGCGCTTCTTGGAGGAGGGCCAGCCGGCAGTGGACCGGTCCCGGCTGCGTTGGGGGTCACCCCCTCGACTGCGGCGTGTGCCCACCTGGCTGCTGGTGTCCTCTCGCTCCAGCAGGAGGTTGTTAAGGGCCTCAGCATTAAGGGAGGCCAGGCGCCGCTTCCGGGGTTGGGCAAGACCAGTGTCCTCACTGGATGGGGTAGGGCTGGGGGGTTTGGGCAAGTCAGGTGGCAGCTCATCGGCCTCATCTGCACTGCGTGGACCGGCCACATTTTCCAGGCGTGTCAGCAGCACTTTGCAGGCTTTGGGCTTCTCAGGAACCAACGGGCGCTTACGCAGTGGATAGTTCTTGCGGCGACCGGTGACGTGACCTGGGCTCTCCGGCATGCCTGGCTCCATCCCCTCTGCCCCCTGCTCCATATTGCTGTCTTCCATCTGCAGGGGCTCCCTTCGACCAGTGGGGCCCGAACTTAGCATGGGCAGGGACTTCCTCCGAGTGTGTGTCATGGAGTACCTCCAATCTGCAGGGCAGAATGCTGGCAGTGAGAGGAGCCTGCCCTGGCCAGTGCCCCACCTGCTTCCTCCCACTACTGCAGCCCATCCAACCCCACCTGTAGTAACTCTGGCCCACCCCCACCCCATCTCCAGTCTGGATTTTCACAGGCCCCCTTTTTCACAGTAAATAGATCCTGTGGGGTAGGCCAGAAGCAGCTGTGCAGAAACTGGTCCCCCCCACTCTCCATTTAGGTGTCTTAGAACTAAGTCCTCAGAGAACCTACAAAGCAAAGCAGAGTCCAGGGTCCAGACACAGGAGCTGGGGACAAAGCTCTGTTCTCCCATTTGATAACTCATTGCAGGAGAGGAGGAAGCTCTGAAGACATGGAGCCAGGAAGAGACCAGGGTAGTGGGAGTCCATGTATAAAGCACTACTGACCACCTCCCCAACCTTGGGACGTCTGAGGTTGGCCACAGGAGGATAAGGAGATGGGCAGTGAGAAGCTGTGATAAGAAACCTGTCTGCTGGCCTATGGAGGAGGTAAAGTTGAACCTGTGAGGACATCTCACTTGACATGGAGGGTTGGACAGTCATAACCTGTTGCCAGAAAAGACTCCTAAAAGGAAGCCATGGTTAAGCAAAGTCTCAACCAGCGCAGGAAGCCAGAGCCATCTTGGTTCAGACTGCAGGCAGGGAGGCCTGCACAATGCCAGTGCCTGAGGAAGGGATGTCAGTAATCTGGTAGGAAACAGGTCACAGTGACCTTCCGTACAGCTTTTAACCCTTACTGATAGAGAGCTATGATGACCACACCTAAGGGGGAAAAGTCAAATTGTCAAAATAGTAACAAAGGTGTAAAATAATGGTACTTCATTAATAAAAACATGAAATAAAAGAAAACAAATCATTAGCAACCACAACAATCTTGTAAAAGAAAGTATCAAAGAGGAGAAATAACTCCAGACAGACAGACAGACAGACAGACAGACAGACTGCTGCTGCCTAATTAGTCTTGCCAGATTCCTCAGGTCTCCCTCCTGGCAAACACATAGTGAGGCAGGGGCAGAATGGGGTGGGGGTTGGGAGGAGTCACAGGAATCCCAGAGCCTGACATAAAACACCCACCAACAGATACCACTCCCCAACTTTGTTCAGCAAATATGCCCCTTCCCCCAATGTACACCTGGGGCAGCCTGAACCCCTTCCTGAATGAAAGAGGCAGAGCTGGCAGTGCAGAGGAAGCTGGCTAGGCTAAAGTGAGGAAAAACTGCAGGGAAGTGTTGGTCAGAGATTACTGAGCTACTACTCCCCTACCTACTCCCCAACCAAAGGCAAGGGTCTGCCAAGTAAGGTGCCAGACAAGGCTCTGCCTTCCCCACGCACCCTGTGACCCCCGCCTCTCCCCACCCATCAGGCCCAGCCCTTTCAGTTCAATTTCCCTACTGCTATTGTTATTCACACTCACTATACCAAAGGAGCTGGGAGCAATCCCTGCTGGGCCAGGCAGGATTTAACCCTGAAAGTCCCAAACATGAGAACTCCCAGGGCTTCCTAAATCCTTTCCAACTAGCTACTGAGGCCTTGGGTAAGTGGCTGGGACTAGTGGGACTTTCTCTCGTATGACATATTGTAGTAGTTGAGAAAGAAGACAGAAAATCAGGCTGAGGCCAGCGTGGGCAACCCTTATCCCTGAGAAACGACTTGGAGAACTGGAAAAAGAAGGCAACGTGCCAGGTGTTACTTGGGCCATGTGTGGGGGACCTGCCACTGCCCAGAGACCAAGCCTCAGGCGAGACAGTCACAGAGGCAAATCCATTCATTCCAGATGCACATACAAGAGAGCTTCTAAAAAATCCCAGGCATCTGCTAGGCTCCCTAAAACTCTCCTGCTTCTAATCAGGGTGACCACCCATTCCTGTTTGCTTGTTAGAAATGCCTCCTTTCGCTCTCAAAAGCATCCTGTGCTTACAATCCAGAGACCCTTTTCTGAAATGGAGGGAAGGTGAAGGCAATAACAAGGAGACACATCTGTGTTTCTTAGGAAAACTCAGGCCTAACTGTCCTCAGGCCCAGCCATCCTCCACCCCCAAAAGGGCCTGAAGAGGAGGATAAGTGAACCACACAGCTGAACAGGGGCCAAAGCCCCTCAACAGGCCCCATGTACCAGAGAATCAGGCCTGGGAATGGCTGGGGGCCAAGGCTGAGGTCACCTGGGCTTGTGGCCTTAGAGGATATGGACACCAGAGCAAGAAGGGAAAGAGAAAGAGAAAGAGAGTACAGGGAGGCAAGGAGGTGCTTTCAGACCCGGTGAGTGAAACAGCTCTGAGCTCTGACGAGCAAGGAATGACTGGCCCGCCCTCCTCCTCCACCCTCTCCCTGCGTTGGTAGTGGACTGGCTGAGTGGGTGGATCGTCTTAGGACTCTGGAACACTTGCTCCACATTCAGTCTTTCCCTTTGAACATGTAAATGTTCCCAACCAGGGTAAGGCTGGGAGGACAGGCTTTCACTTTCAGAAGCCTGTCCCCAGACCCTGGGAATGTGTTTCCTCTAGAGCAGCTCTTCTTTCACCTCCCATTCAGTCCTAGGGGATACCACTGTCCTCAGGACTGCAGACTGAGAATCCTGGGAAGACTAAATCATAGGGTGCAAGTCACATTTCCAAATCAAGCCTTAGAGCCGCCTGCTAGCCTCCCCTGAACCTGCCAGGTCCCTGTCACCTCCTGAAAACACCCAAGGCCAGCAAAAGCACATTGCAAAACAACTTGCTTTCATGTGGTGGCTAAAGTGGCAACGTCACTCACTCACTGTCCAGAGGTTGGAGTCGCTTACTCCTCCCAGGCACCTCAATGCATGCAAGGAAAGCAAGTGAGTCATGCTTTGAAGCCGCTTCCCTGTGAGGTGGGGCTAAGTCCCAGCCTGTCAAAGACCCCTCTAACCTGAAGACGGCGACCCAGCTCTACCAATCCTTCTCTCCTGCCTCCCCTGACTCCTCATTCCCTCACTTATACACTAGTTCAACTAGCAACTTCCTGCCACTGCCAATAGACCTGGTGCTGGGGTTCCCAACACTCCCCTCCTCCTCATTGGGAAGCCTCCTAAGCACAGGTAGTCCAGACCCCCTTGGGAGACGGTTCCTAGGAAGGACTCCCCAGGGCATATTACTGCTTGCAAAATCCATGTTAAGCAAGCTCTCACTGAAGAGAAGCAGCCTGATTGTACCCAGCTCTGAACCGCAACAGACAGCTATCATGAATGACAATGACCAGTGGTCCTCCAAGTCAAAGAAAGACTCAGTTGAATCCAAAGTCACCAATACCCCGTAAGTTCTTACTTAATGTCATTAACCTCTTGGAAACCGACTTTAAGTGAAAGGATAGGACGTGTAACAAAAGCCGGTCCTGGTTTTCTTCAGTATCAGTAAAGACTGTTTTATATTTAAAAGATGTTGAATGAAATCATGCAATTCCAAGGACCTAGTACTCTAGCAAACAGGCCATGTCAGCCCCAGCTGAAGTGTCAGGGTGGGTCTGTGCTCAGTGCTGCCCTAAGCCGCCCAAGGCTGGAATGGGAGAAGGGGGAGATGTGTGCCCTCAAGCTGCAACAGCACCATGCATCAACTCCCATCAGTGCAGACCAGCATAGCTAAGATGTCTACAAGAGGAGGCCTACCTGCAGAGTGAGGTACTACCAAGGGGGAAACCAGAGGGAGGGGGCAGTGCACAGTGGAGCCTAGACCGCTTCAGAAAGCAGCGGCTGACCTGAAGCAGGAAGAAGTATCGGCTACAGTTCTCTACCTACTTACCCAGCTCTAGCTAAATGCCCCCCACTGCCATCCTCAGGGGTTCAGGACCCAGGGCTCTACCCCACAGCCCTTCCTGAAATCTCCCTCCCCCACTATACTTAAAATTTTGCCTTTCAGGCTTTTTATTTTATTATTAATGGTAGAGGAATACTCAGAAAGGTTGTAACTAAGAGCACAGGTCACCTGTGCTAGAGCCAGAAAGAGGCCTGACACAGTCACCTCCTTCCAATTACACCTTAAACCACACGGCTGGTACTGGGTTAAGCACCCTCCTCTGCAGTCTCTCTTGGAATAATCTCCCTCCCCCAAAGAACACCTTTTCAGAACACCAAGTTTCCTGAATCTTCCATCAGAGAAGAAAAGCAAGAGATCAAAGGTCAGCTCCTGTTCACTGAAATTTAGTTGCTGTTTCTTCATGGAAAAACAGAGGTGAAGCACCAGCAATTCCTATGATAAGACTGGCAAGGACGTGACTGGTATCCCTTGGATCCCCAAGGGGTGGCAGAGTGGAAAGAACCAAAGCTCTGAGTCAGGCAGTCCTGCATTTAAATGCCAGCTCTACTCCTCATGAGCATTTGCTTAATTTCTCTGAACTTCAGATTCTTCATCTAAAACAGATGCCTCAGAACTCACTGAAGAGTAATGATGAGGACGACACTAGTTACTGTGCTGGAGCCAGCCGAGTAGGAATCCAGCAGGTCAACATCCCTGCTCAGCTCCCAGGCCCACACAGGGCAGCCTGCCCTTGGCCTGGCCTATGCCTTTGCCTGTCCCTGCGGCAGGAGCCTGGGGCGGCTGGGGAGCTGGCTTCTGCTGTGAGAAATCTGCAAGCCCAGCCTGCCCTGAACTCTGCTCTGCTACTAATCCACTGAGGGCACTCGAGTAGCAACCCCAGGGAGAGTAGGCTGCTCCTTTCCTGTGCAGGACCTAGTGTGGGGTGAATTGTGGGGATTCAGTTTACAACACAGAGAGGGGAGGGGCAGAAACCGAATCCCAACAGACTATGAACAACAGCTCCACACTCTGAAAAACACTCTACCGTGAAAGGTGAAGTCTTTGACTGCTAAAGGCCCAGGGGAGGGGATCAGAAGGCATGCAGGGGAGGGGGTCAGAGGGCATGCATTCGGCCTGTTCATCTGACTGCTGTTCAGTGTGGGAACCCATCAAGCTGAAGTCTCAGCTCTGGTGCCCAAGCTGCAGGGTACTGGCCCTGAAGAGTGAG